ACATATCATCCCTTACATATCATCCCTTACATATCATCCCTACAGATCCCTACATAGCATGCCCTACAGATCACCCTACAGATCATCCCTTACAAGCATCCCTTACAACATCCCTTACATACATCCCTACAGACTATCCCTACAAGCATCCCTTACAGATCATCCCTTACATAGCACCCGTACATATCATCCCTTACATATCACCTGACATATACCCTTACAAGCATCCCTACAATAGGCTACATCAGCCGTACATACACCTTACAATGCACCTACAATCATCCCTACATAGCATCCCTGACATATCACCTTACAGATCATCCCTTACAACATCCCGTTACATAGTCACCTTACACTACATCCCTACATCTTACATGCATCCCTTACATCTAGCATCCCTTACAGACATCCTCTTACATATCATCCCTACATATCATCCCTACAATCACCCTTACAGATCAGCCCTTACATAGCATCCCTACAATCATGTCTTACATACATGTCTAATATCATCACGTACATATCATCCCTTACATATCATCCCTTCAATCATCCCTTATACATACTTATCCCTTACATATCATCCCTCCATATCATCCCTTACATATCATCTCTTACATATCATCCCTTTACATATCATCCATTACATATCATCCCTTACATATTTTAATACCTTACATATCATCCCTACATAGCAGTCACTTAATATCATCCCTTACATTATGATCCTTACATAGCATCCCTTACATAGCATCCCTTACGTATCATCCCTTACATAGCATCCCTTACGTATCATCCCTTACATATTATCCCTTACATAGCATCCCTTACATATTATCCCTTACATATCGTCCCTTACATATCATCCCTTACATATCATCCCTTACATATTATCCCTTACATATCATCCCTTACATATTATCCCTTACATAGCATCCCTTACATATTATCCCTTACATATCATGCCTTACATATCATGTCTTACATATCATGCCTTACATATCATGTCTTACATATCATCCCTTACATAGCATCCCTTACATATCGTCCCTTACATATTATCCCTTACATTTACATTAAACATTTTAGTCATTTAGCAGACACTCTTATCCAGAGCGACTTACAGTTAGTGAGTACATACATTTTCATACTCTTACATATTGTTCCTTACATTGACACAATGCTGATGGTGACGCATGTAGTGTAGCTGAAAGGTTAGGATGTTCCTCATCATGTAGTGTAGCTGAAAGGTTAGGATGTTCATCATCATGTAGTGTAGCTGAAGGGTTAGGATGTTCATCATCATGTAGTGTAGCTGAAGGGTTAGGATGTTCCTATTCATGTAGTGTAGCTGAAGGGTTAGGATGTTCCTATTCATGTAGTGTAGCTGAAGTGTTAGGATGTTCATCATCATGTAGTGTAGCTGAAGGGTTAGGATGTTCCTCATCATGTAGTGAAGCTGAAGGGTTAGGATGTTCCTATTCATGTAGTGTAGCTGAAGGGTTAGGATGTTCCTATTCATGTAGTGTAGCTGAAGGGTTAGGATGTTCCTCATCATGTAGTGTAGCTGAAGGGTTAGGATGTTCCTCATCATGTAGTGTAGCTGAAGGGTTAGTATGTTCATCATCATGTAGTGTAGCTGAAGGGTTAGGATGTTCATCATCATGTAGTGTAGCTGAAGGGTTAGGATGTTCCTATTCATGTAGTGTAGCTGAAGGGTTATGATGTTCCTATTCATGTAGTGTAGCTGAAGGGTTAGGATGTTCATCATCATGTAGTGTAGCTGAAGGGTTAGGATGTTCATCATCATGTAGTGTAGCTGAAGGGTTAGGATGTTCCTATTCATGTAGTGTAGCTGAAGGGTTATGATGTTCCTATTCATGTAGTGTAGCTGAAGGGTTAGGATGTTCATCATCATGTATTGTAGCTGAAGGGTTAGGATGTTCATCATCATGTAGTGTAGCTGAAGGGTTAGGATGTTCATCATCATGTATTGTAGCTGAAGGGTTAGGATGTTCCTATTCATGTAGTGTAGCTGAAGGGTTAGAATGTTCCTCATCATGTAGTGTAGCTGAAGGGTTAGGATGTTCCTCATCATGTAGTGTAGCTGAAGGGTTAGGATGTTCATCATCATGTAGTGTAGCTGAAGGGTTAGGATGTTCATCATCATGTAGTGTAGCTGAAGGGTTAGGATGTTCCTCATCATGTAGTGTAGCTGAAGGGTTAGGATGTTCCTCATCATGTAGTGTAGCTGAAGGGTTATGATGTTCCTATTCATGTAGTGTAGCTGAAGGGTTAGGATGTTCCTCATCATGTAGTGTAGCTGAAGGGTTAGGATGTTCATCATCATGTAGTGTAGCTGAAGGGTTAGGATGTTCATCATCATGTAGTGTAGCTGAAGGGTTAGGATGTTCCTATTCATGTAGTGTAGCTGAAGGGTTAGTATGTTCATCATCATGTAGTGTAGCTGAAGGGTTAGGATGTTCCTATTCATGTAGTGTAGCTGAAGGGTTAGGATGTTCCTATTCATGTAGTGTAGCTGAAGGGTTAGGATGTTCATCATCATGTAGTGTAGCTGAAGTGTTAGGATGTTCATCATCATGTAGTGTAGCTGAAGGGTTAGGATGTTCATCATCAGGTAGTGTAGCTGAAGGGTTAGGATGTTCATCATCATGTAGTGTAGCTGAAGGGTTAGGATGTTCCTCATCATGTAGTGTAGCTGAAGGGTTAGGATGTTCATCATCATGTAGTGTAGCTGAAGGGTTAGGATGTTCATCATCAGGTAGTGTAGCTGAAGAGCGAGGTAGTGCTAGAGAGAGAGGAGAGAGACCCCTAAGGTCAATGTCCACAATCAAATTAGCTAGAGATGTGTTTTCTTTTGCATTGGATGCGTTTCAATCCACCACATCCGCCGATGTAACACTTCCACATCTGTGGTGAAAGGTGACAGAGCGGTGTTTGTCAGACTGTGAGACATCCCGAAAATCGGTCTTATCACAAAATCGTCTGTAGCGTCCGAACGGTTTGGCCTACAAGCTTTTATGACCCCTCTATGGGAAGATGAGACTCTCACGATGGTGTTCTCCATCTTGGGACTCGTCTGAAGTCGGCTGATCTTCCAACTTCAGTCTGTAGCGTCTCAACAGTTTGGCCCAAACCGTGGTGAGACTCACCAACACATACATGTCGGTTGTTTTGCTCTAGGACGCCCACAGGCCTCCCAAGACTCGTCTGTAGGTCCCCTGGTACCAGTAGAAAACATTAATGACTATGACGCCCACAGGCCTCCCAAGACTCGTCTGTAGGTCCCCTGGTACCAGTAGAAAACATTAATGACTATGACGCCCACAGGCCTCCCAAGACTCGTCTGTAGGTCCTCCGGTACCAGTCGAAAACATTTATGGAAGCTGGCAAAACAGTCCTGTAGCTTAGCATCTGCGACATCTGACCACTTTTTTATTAACCGAGTCACTGGTGCTTCCTGCTTTAGTTTTTGCTTATAAGCAGGAATCAGGAGGATAGAGTTATGGTCAGATTTGCCAAATGGAGGGCGAGGGAGAGCTTTGTATGCGTCTCTGTGTGTGGAGTAAAGGTGGTCTAGAGTTTTGTTTCCTCTGGTTGCACATTTAACATGCTGGTAGAAATTAGCTAGAACGTCCATTGCTCGTGTTTCTTGGCCCAAGCAAGTCTCTTCTTATTATTGGTGTCCTTTAGTAGTGGTTTCTTTGCAGCAATTCCACCATGAAGGCCTGATACACACAGTCTCCTCTGAACAGTTGATGTTGAGATGTGTCTGTTACTTGAACTCTGTGAAGCATTTATTTGGGCTGCAATCTGAGGTGCAGTTAACTCTAATGAACGTATCCTCTGCAGCAGAGGTAACTCTGGGTCTTCCTTTCCTGTGGCGGTCCTCATGAGAGCCAGTTTTATCATAGCGCTTGATGGTTTTTGTGACTGCACTTGAAGGAACTTCAAGAACTCAAAGTTCTTGAGATTTTCCGTGTTGACTGACCTTCATGTCTTAAAGTAATGATGGACTGTCAATTCTCTTTGCTTATTTCAGCTGTTCTTGCCATAATATGGACTTGGTCTTTTACCAAATAGGGCTATCTTCTGTATACCACCCCTACCTTGTCACAACACAACTGGTTGGATCAAACACATTAAGAAGGAAAGACATTCCACAAATTAACTTTTAAGAAGGCAAACCTGTTAATTGAAATGCATTTCAGGTGACTACCTCATGAAGCTGGTTGAGAGAATGCCAAGAGTGTGCAGAGCTGTCATCAAGGCGAAGGGTGGCTATTTGAAGAATCTCAAATATAACATATATTTTGATTTTTTAAAACTTTTTTGGTTACTACATGATTCCGTATGTGTTATTTCATAGTTTTGGTGTCTTCACTGTTATTCTACAATGTAAAAACCCTTGAATGAGTAGGTGTGTCCAAACTTTTGGTACTTTATATCAAATTCCCACATTCACAAACGGGCACCCTTACTTTACTCTGGTAGTGTAACGAAAAGTTAAAATGGAAGATGAACTTGCATTAAAACATTAGGAAAATGTAACTGGCTACTTTCTTTCTATGGTAAACATAAGACATCTGATGGCCATGCATCGTCTTTGCTCATAATTGAGTTGCAGTATGTGTGGCTGCTAGCCAAATAGTGTTGTACTTCTGTTGTCATCTGATGAAAATGAGTCTATTTTCTGCCTAATGGTTGGCATTTATTTATTTTGTGTGATGAAAAACTAGATTTGTACGCCCCAGATCTTTCTATTGGAGAAAAAAAACAAAACACTTTCAATATAAAACGCAGGTGAAATGGTTTAAAACACAGCTTTTTTGATTGTGTGCATTTTGAAGATGCAGATTTCTGAACGTTAACCCTAACCCTGCCCTCTCTCCCCTCCCCTCCAGGTTATTCTGTGGAGAGTGAAGAGTCAAGGAGACAGGGCAGCAGCAGCAGTGGACTGGACCCAGCCATGGTCATACATGTTGGTATCAGCTGAGACATGGACTGAGGTGAGTGGACTGGACCCAGCCATGGTCATACATGTTGGTACCAATTCAAGTTCAAGACGAGCGGTAAGAGGCAGGGATGTAACGATTCACCGATACGCATCGGTCCCCGGTTCAAATGTTTAAGATATGAGTGCATCGGTCCCCTGTTCAAATGTTTAAAGATATGAGTGCATCGGTCCCCGGTTCAAATGTTTAAGATATGAGTGCATCGGTCCCCGGTTCAAATGTTTAAGATATGAGTGCATCGGTCCCCGGTTCAAATGTTTAAAGTGTATCAGTCCGCTGAACCCCAAACCGATCCAAATGTACCATGCATCGGTCAAAAAATCTATTCAAACATTACGAATCACCGGTTCACTACAATATTTTGCAGAAATTACTTAATTTCTACCTTCCAAAAATACCTCTCATCTTGTGAGAACTGCGTCGTTCAGTGCCGAACTAAGCATGTTATTGTGTTGCCAGTCATTGATCTACAAGTCATCATGCCGAACAACAATAGCAGTAGTCAAACTGCTCGCTGACCAACGTAGGCTACATGCTGATCGGGGCTAACATTAGATTTTATTTTGATTGTTCAGGTCCACCATCAGCAATAGTTTTGGTTCGCCTGGCTATCCACGTTAGGGTTGGGCGGTATCGAGGATTTCATACCGTCATACCGTTTCGGTACCATACCGGGGTATACGGTATTACCGGAAGTGCACACATGGGGGCGCTATTTCTAAAACTGTGTGTGACGCACAAAACAATTCAGGCAACAGGGATCTTGATCCAGGAGGGGATTGAATGTCTCTGCTGTAACCAAGAAGCTGGATCTTGACATCTTGCCACTTAGCTAGCAAGTTAGCCAACCAGATGCATAGCTGGAGCCCTGAGCTGGAGATCATTTATTTATCACATCTTATATGTCTTATATTTATACTTAACTGCCCCCAACCCCCCCAGAAAAAGTCAGTGGGCGTGGTGTACGTCTGTATTTCTAAATATACCGGGTATAACGATTACCGGGGTATCACCCAACGCCCACAGACTTTAGTTTCTTCTCCGCAATGAATCTGGATCTAAGTACCTCCTAACGATTTTTAGAACGCAAACACATTCGAACCATTCTGATTGGTCCCAGAAAACGATGGGTTGGGCCAGAGCCAGAACACACGTGGGTAAAGCAGCGTTTTGAAAATGTGTCATTGGCTTTGATACTCTTGATTGATTGGTTAGAAATGATCCAATCGCGGATGACTTTGTTTTGTACAACACCCCTCATTTTGACGTTCACCACCAACGACTTGAATGATGGCGGTCTCAGACTGAAGTATGTAGCGGACACAGAGCAGCGGAAGAATTCAGTTTGAGTCATCAGGCAACGATTGGGCCCCGAGTTGTGTTAGTGTTGCTTGAAACAATCAGTGTATATGGTCATTTTTAGATATACAGGGTAAAGTTGAGAATTTCATAACAAGGAGAGCAATCACTTTTGCTACCCACACTGCATGGTTGATGCGGAATCATGCTGTTTAATCAGCTTCTTGATATGCCACGCCTGTCAGGTGGATGGATTCTCTTGGCAAAGGATAAATGCTCACTAACAGGGATGTAAACAAAATTGTACACAAAATATGAGAGAAATAAGCTTTTTGTGCGTATGGAACATTTCTGGGATATTTTATTTCAGCTCATGAATCATGGGACCGACACTTTCCATACAGAGTCCATGTATATCTAGATATGTATGGAATCGTGCTGAAAGGGAACACATCACTAGGAAGAGGGTTGATTTCTGTTCAAGGCTGTTTCCCCTTTTCTTCTTTGTCTCATCAGCTGTGTGACTTCCCCTAACGGACGCACAGTCAGACGGACGGACGGACGGACGGACGCCGCGTCGTCTGTACCCCTACCCCAGACACCCACCTCACTTGCCAGCCGTTCAAATGCACCCCGACAATAAGCTGACCAATCATGGCAAGCAAGTGAGCAGCGACAGCCAATCCCAGCTCTCCAATGTGACCCAGCAGCAAGAGGGGGCCAATAAGGGCCTGGGGGCGGGCAGCCAATCGGTGATGAAGACGAAGAGGGAGAGAAGTGTGTCCGTGGACTCTGGGGAACAGAGAGACGCGCTGGAGCCTGACGCCAAAGGTAGGGTATTACGTCACATTACAGCTGCGGGCTACCGTCAGAAGCCAGAGGAAATTCTGACGCCTAACAGAAAGGTCAGGGTATTTCAGTATGAAGGAAAACAAGTTATTTAGTACACACCGTCACACACACACACACACACACACACACACACATCGTCACACCGTCACACACACACACACACACCGTCACACACACACACACGCACCGTCACACACACACACACACACATACACCGTCACACACACACACACACACACACAAAATCACACACACATCACACACAATGCACACACAGACACAGACACACCATGCACACACCGACACTAACACGTTTCCTGCTGTGGGTGGGTGTAGGTAGCTAATCTGGTATTTCTGGTGCAGATCTGACCAGAGAGAGACAGAGGAAATCTAAAAGATCTGACCAGAGAGAGACAGAGGAAATCTAAAAGATCAACATCTACATACTACCAGAGGAATGTACACCCTGGCCGTGTATATGCTGCTCGGAGTTTAGCAGCAGTAAACTGTTACCAGAACAGTGATATCTGTAGGTGTCTGTCTGACTCCTGTAGATTAGCAGCAGTAAACTGTTCCCAGAACAGTGATCTCTGTAGGTGTCTGTCTGACTCCTGTAGATTAGCAGCAGTAAACTGTTACCAGAACAGTGATCTCTGTAGGTGTCTGTCTGACTCCTGTAGATTAGCAGCAGTAAACTGTTCCCAGAACAGTGATCTCTGTAGGTGTCTGTCTGACTCCTGTAGTTTAGCAGCAGTAAACTGTTCCCAGAACAGTGATCTCTGTAGGTGTCTGTCTGACTCCTGTAGTTTAGCAGCAGTAAACTGTTCCCAGAACAGTGATCTCTGTAGGTGTCTGTCTGACTCCTGTAGATTAGCAGCAGTAAACTGTTCCCAGAACAGTGATCTCTGTAGGTGTCTGTCTGACTCCTGTAGATTAGCAGCAGTAAACTGTTCCCAGAACAGTGATCTCTGTAGGTGTCTGTCTGACTCCTGTAGATTAGCAGCAGTAAACTGTTCCCAGAACAGTGATCTCTGTAGGTGTCTGTCTGACTCCTGTAGATTAGCAGCAGTAAACTGTTCCCAGAACAGTGATCTCTGTAGGTGTCTGTCTGACTCCTGTAGTTTAGCAGCAAGGCTAGAAGCTAGAAGTGGTTGTAGATTTGCATCTCTTTGTGCATGCTGTGACTATTTGCATTTGTTTGCCTGTGTATTATTCTTTCGCGTGTGTGCGTCTGCGTGTGTGTGTGCGTGAGTATGTGTGTGTGTGTGTGTGTGTGTGACTGCCGAGGTGGGGGAGGGTGACAGCCAGTAATATCATTTTGTGAAACTGAGTCATCTGAGCTTACCATCACACACACACACACACACACACACACACACACACACACACACACACACACACACACACACACACACACACACACACACTATGCAATGTTCCTTGACATACTGAGAGAGGGGGGCGTAGTTACATCAAAGAATAACTGAAGCTTGGTTCTGAATTGAAGGTTCAAATACAGCACAGTTGAAAAATATATGTCACATGGAAATCATAAGAGGATGGTTTACAGAGATAGGTGGGATGGACTGAGGGCAGCTGAGGGGTGGGGTTTAAAGCCCATGATCTATAATAGTTATGACTGAAAATAATATATATATATATATATATATATATATATATATATATATATATATATATATATACACACAGTGAGGGAAAAAAGTATTTGATCCCCTGCTGATTTTGTACGTTTGCCCACTGACAAAGACATGATCAGTCTATAATTTTAATGGTAGGTTTATTTGAACAGTGAGAGACAGAATAACAACAACAAAATCCAGAAAAACGCATGTCAAAAATTTTATACAGAGACTGAGTCTCTGCTGCTAGGTGGTCAGACTGAGTCTGCTGCTAGGTGGTGTAAACATTGACAATGTGTACTAGTGTGTATAGATAGTGTGTACCCTCGAGTAGGCTGAGTGAAGACATGAGGGGACATATCCATTGCACTCGATAGTGTGTACACTACTTTGAGGACACAACCGGTGAGCGAGGACAAAGCCATAGCAGGAGATAGTGTACACTAGTTTGAGGCCATAGCAGGAGATAGTGTACACTTGTTTGAGGCCATAGCAGGAGATAGTGTACACTTGTTTGAGGCCATAGCAGGAGATAGTGTACACTTGTTTGAGGCCATAGCAGGAGATAGTGTACACTAGTTAAAGTGAGGACACAGACATGGCAGTCTCCCCTCTCTCTCACTACTGTCTGTCTCACCAAGGTTATTTGATAGTATGAGGCCAGAAGCTATACTCTCGCTCTCCTTCCTCCCTCCCTCTCTCCTCTCATCTCATTATGGATGATTGTGTAATAATAGGGCATTGTGGCCTGTTATAGTTTGTCATATCCAATCTATCCTAAATGTGTGTGTGTTGTCCCCCCAGTAGAAGGTGTGATGAGAAGTAAACGGCGGTGTGTATTGGAGAAGAAACAGCCCTATAGTGGAGATGAGTGGTGCTCTGGCCCCGACACTGAGGAGGAGGAGGACAAGCCACAGCCTGCTACACACTGTGAGTAGAGCACACCCCTCATGGGACACTGTGAGTAGAGCACACCCCTCATGGGACACTGTGAGTAGAACCCTGCTACACACTGTGAGTAGAGTACACCCCTCATGGGACACTGTGAGTAGAGCACACCCCTCATGAGACACTGTGAGTAGAGCACACCCTGCTACACACTGTGAGTAGAGCACACCCCTCATGGGACACTGTGAGTAGAGCACACCCCTCATGGGACACTGTGAGTAGAGCACACCCCTCATGGGACACTGTGAGTAGAGCACACCCCTCATGGGACACTGTGAGTAGAGCATACCCCTCATGGGACACTGTGAGTAGAGCACACCCCTCATGGGACACTGTGAGTAGAGCACACCCCTCATGGGACACTGTGAGTAGAGCACACCCCCTCATGGGACACTGTGAGTAGAGCACACCCCTCATGGGACACTGTGAGTAGAGCACACCCCTCATGGGACACTGTGAGCAGAGCACACCCCTCATGGGACACTGTGAGTAGAGCACACCCCTCATGGGACACTGTGAGTAGAGCACACCCTGCTACACACTGTGAGTAGAGCACACCCCTCATGGGACACTGTGAGTAGAGCACACCCCTCATGGGACACTGTGAGTAGAGCATACCCCTCATGGGACACTGTGAGTAGAGCACACCCCTCATGGGACACTGTGAGTAGAGCACACCCCTCATGGGACACTGTGAGTAGAGCACACCCCTCATGGGACACTGTGAGTAGAGCACACCCCTCATGGGACACTGTGAGTAGAACATACCCCTCATGGGACACTGTGAGTAGAGCACACCCCTCATGGGACACTGTGAGTAGAGCATAACCCTCATGGGAAACTGTGAGTAGAGCACACCCTGCTACACACTGTGAGTAGAGCACACCCCTCATGGGACACTGTGAGTAGAGCATACCCCTCATGGGACACTGTGAGTAGAGTACACCCCTCATGGGACACTGTGAGTAGAGCATACCCCTCATGGGACACTGTGAGTAGAGCACACCCCTCATGGGACACTGTGAGTAGAGCACACCCTGCTACACACTGTGAGTAGAGCACACCCCTCATGGGACACTGTGAGTAGAGCACACCCTGCTACACACTGTGAGTAGAGCACACCCCTCATGGGACACTGTGAGTAGAGCACACCCCTCATGGGACACTGTGAGTAGAGCACACCCCTCTTGGGACACTGTGAGTAGAGCACACCCCTCATGGGACACTGTGAGTAGAGCACACCCCTCATTGGACACTGTGAGTAGAGCACACCCCTCATGGGACACTGTGAGTAGAGCACACCCCTCATGGGACACTGTGAGTAGAGCATACCCCTCATGGGACACTGTGAGTAGAGCACACCCCTCATGGGACACTGTGAGTAGACTAACCCCTCATGGGACACTGTGAGTAGAGCACACCCCTCATGGGACACTGTGAATAGAGCACACCCTGCTACACACTCTGAGTAGAGCACACCCCTCATGGGACACTGTGAGTAGAGCACACCCTGCTACACACTCTGAGTAGAGCACACCCCTCATGGGACACTGTGAGTAGAGCACACCCCTCATGGGACACTGTGAGTAGAGCATACCCCTCATGGGACACTGTGAGTAGAGCACACCCCTCATGGGACACTGTGAGTAGAGCACACCCCTCATGGGACACTGTGAGTAGAACCCTGCTACACACTGTGAGTAGAGTACACCCCTCATGGGACACTGTGAGTAGAGCACACCCCTCATGGGACACTGTGAGTAGAGCACACCCCTCATGAGACACTGTGAGTAGAGCACACCCTGCTACACACTGTGAGTAGAGCACACCCCTCATGGGACACTGTGAGTAGAGCACACCCCTCATGGGACACTGTGAGTAGAGCACACCCCTCATGGGACACTGTGAGTAGAGCACACCCCTCTTGGGACACTGTGAGTAGAGCACACCCCTCATGGGACACTGTGAGTAGAGCACACCCCTCATGGGACACTGTGAGTAGAGCTGTGAGTAGACTAACCCCTCATGGGACACTGTGAGTAGAGCATAACCCTCATGGGAAACTGTGAGTAGAGCACACCCTGCTACACACTGTGAGTAGAGCACACCCCTCATGGGACACTGTGAGTAGAGCATACCCCTCATGGGACACTGTGAGTAGAGTACACCCCTCATGGGACACTGTGAGTAGAGCATACCCCTCATGGGACACTGTGAGTAGAGCACACCCCTCAAGGGACACTGTGAGTAGAGCATACCCCTCATGGGACACTGTGAGTAGAGCACACCCTGCTACACACTGTGAGTAGAGCACACCCCTCATGGGACACTGTGAGTAGAGCATACCCCTCATGGGACACTGTGAGTAGAGCACACCCCTCATGGGACACTGTGAGTAGAGCACACCCTGCTACACACTGTGAGTAGAGCACACCCCTCATGGGACACTGTGAGTAGAGCACACCCTGCTACACACTGTGAGTAGAGCACACCCCTCATGGGACACTGTGAGTAGAGCACACCCCTCATGGGACACTGTGAGTAGAGCACACCCCTCTTGGGACACTGTGAGTAGAGCACACCCCTCATGGGACACTGTGAGTAGAGCACACCCCTCATGGGACACTGTGAGTAGAGCATACCCCTCATGGGACACTGTGAGTAGAGCACACCCCTCATGGGACACTGTGAGTAGAGCACACCCCTCATTGGACACTGTGAGTAGAGCACACCCCTCATGGGACACTGTGAGTAGAGCACACCCCTCATGGGACACTGTGAGTAGAGCATACCCCTCATGGGACACTGTGAGTAGAGCACACCCCTCATGGGACACTGTGAGTAGACTAACCCCTCATGGGACACTGTGAGTAGAGCATACCCCTCATGGGACACTGTGAGTAGAGCATACCCCTCATGGGACACTGTGAATAGAGCATACCCCTCATGGGACACTGTGAGTAGAGCACACCCTGCTACACACTCTGAGTAGAGCACACCCCTCATGGGACACTGTGAGTAGAGCACACCCCTCATGGGACACTGTGAGTAGAGCATACCCCTCATGGGACACTGTGAGTAGAGCACACCCCTCATGGGACACTGTGAGTAGAGCACACCCCTCATGGGACACTGTGAGTAGAACCCTGCTACACACTGTGAGTAGAGTACACCCCTCATGGGACACTGTGAGTAGAGCACACCCCTCATGGGACACTGTGAGTAGAGCACACCCCTCATGAGACACTGTGAGTAGAGCACACCCTGCTACACACTGTGAGTAGAGCACACCCCTCATGGGACACTGTGAGTAGAGCACACCCCTCATGGGACACTGTGAGTAGAGCATACCCCTCATGGGACACTGTGAGTAGAGCACACCCCTCATGGGACACTGTGAGTAGAGCATACCCCTCATGGGACACTCTGAGTAGAGCACACCCCTCATGGGACACTGTGAGTAGAGCACACCCCTCATGGGACACTGTGAGTAGAGCACACCCCTCATGGGACACTGTGAGCAGAGCACACCCCTCATGGGACACTGTGAGTAGAGCATACCCCTCATGGGACACTGTGAGTAGAGCACACCCTGCTACACACTGTGAGTAGAGCACACCCCTCATGGGACACTGTGAGTAGAGCATACCCCTCATGGGACACTGTGAGTAGAGTACACCCCTCATGGGACACTGTGAGTAGAGCACACCCCTCATGGGACACTGTGAGTAGAGCATACCCCTCATGGGACACTGTGAGTAGAGCACACCCCTCAAGGGACACTGTGAGTAGAGCATACCCCTCATGGGACACTGTGAGTAGAGCATACCCCTCATGGGACACTGTGAGTAGAGCACACCCTGCTACACACTGTGAGTAGAGCACACCCCTCATGGGACACTGTGAGTAGAGCACACCCCTCATGGGACACTGTGAGTAGAGCATACCCCTCATGGGACACTGTGAGTAGAGCACACCCCTCATGGGACACTGTGAGTAGAGCATACCCCTCATGGGACACTGTGAGTAGAGCATACCCCTCATGGGACACTGTGAGTAGAGCACACCCCTCATGGGACACTGTGAGTAGAGCACACCCCTCATGGGACACTCTGAGTAGAACATACCCCTCATGGGACACTGTGAGTAGAGCACACCCCTCATGGGACACTGTGAGTAGAGCATAACCCTCATGGGACACTGTGAGTAGAGCACCCCCTGCTACACACTGTGAGTAGAGCACACCCCTCATGGGACACTGTGAGTAGAGCATACCCCTCATGGGACACTGTGAGTAGAGTACACCCCTCATGGGACACTGTGAGTAGAGCATACCCCTCATGGGACACTGTGAGTAGAGCACACCCCTCAAGGGACACTGTGAGTAGAGCATACCCCTCATGGGACACTGTGAGTAGAGCACACCCTGCTACACACTGTGAGTAGAGCACACCCCTCATGGGACACTGTGAGTAGAGCACACCCTGCTACACACTGTGAGTAGAGCACACCCCTCATGGGACACTGTGAGTAGAGCACACCCCTCATGGGACACTGTGAGTAGAGCACACCCCTCATGGGACACTGTGAGTAGAGCAGACCCCTCTTGGGACACTGTGAGTAGAGTACACCCCTCATGGGTCACTGTGAGTAGAGCATACCCCTCATGGGACACTGTGAGTAGAGCACACCCCTCAAGGGACACTGTGAGTAGAGCATACCCCTCATGGGACACTGTGAGTAGAGCACACCCCTCATGGGACACTGTGAGTAGAGCACACCCTGCTACACACTGTGAGTAGAGCACACCCCTCATGGGACACTGTGAGTAGAGCACACCCTGCTACACACTGTGAGTAGAGCACACCCCTCATGGGACACTGTGAGTAGAGCACACCCCTCATGGGACACTGTGAGTAGAGCACACCCCTCATGGGACACTGTGAGTAGAGCACACCCCTCATGGGACACTGTGAGTAGAGCACACCCC